GGCTATTGCTACAAATATACCCCAGCGACTTAGGACTGGTTTTGTACTCCAGGGTTACATTTAATTCACTAATTATTTGTGAAATGAACTAGCAATTTCAGAGTAAAAAATCCTTCAATTTATTTTCAGTGTAACAACATGAGGGTAAATGATGACAAAAATGTATTGTTTCTGTCTATTTGAACTAACCCTAAGGAATTTTAGGAGAAACATCTGAGACAAGATACTTTATCCAAGCTGTGCTAATTTGTACGTCAACAATTAACCTCATTTTTTTAGGAACACATTTGAGACAAATTTGATAATTAAATAAAGAAGAACTCCAATAATTTTTCAGAGAAATTACATTTACCAGCTGTGAGGAACATGCATAATGTGAACTAGAGAGAGAATCAAGATCAGCATTTCATATGGCCACTTTCTGCTATCAGATCTAATCTTCATTGAGCCAATTAGATCCCCAGTGGGGCGTCTGGCCACTTGATTGAACCAGATGGTACTCCACATGTCCCTCTGGGCAATGACCCACAGTGAAGATGAGGAGGGGATAAGGGGCACGTGCGTGGCATGCGTCCAGGAGGCGGGGGTGAAAGGTCAGGGCTTGTTTACTTGGCGACAGTTGTAGGGACGGGTGGGTGGTCTCTGGAGATGCTGAGTGTGAAGGATTGTGGCTCTTAGCTTAGCAGATGTCCTTTGATTCCAGAAAACCACTCAATTAGATTAATTATGTATTCATTACCAGCTGCAATGCATATGAAGTGGGTGCAGTGTTGGTCAGATTATGTGGTTTGGGAAATTGTATTTGTTATGTTACTCTGTCTATGACCATTTTAGTGTCCAAAATTAAAGTGACCTTTATGCCTTTATAAAGCCTGACATATGAAATAATAATCAGAAAGAAATCTATTTATTTTTTAAATGGAACAGAGCTTTTAGACAAACAACAACAAAAACAACGTTTATTTAGAGGACCAAAATGAGCAGTTGCTGATGTTAATATGACCAAAAAGTTCAGATGAAATTCTGATAATCAGTGAGATCTTTATAACAGACTACTTACATACGATGTTTATTAATATCAGTTGTCACTCTGTATATCCCAATAAGATGTCTTAGTAAGATGATTAGTTTTATGATCAAAGCTCTGTAGGTTTTATTGTGGGCAGCAAGACATATAATGCAATGCAATACAATGATGATTGAGGGATGTACAAGTAAACATCCCTTAAAAACCTGATGTATCATGTTTGATACTCATGATTTTTCTAAAAAAAAACAAAAATGGATGGATAATCATGTGAAGGGAGATATTTTAGAATTAAATTAAAAGGCCTTTTACTTGCTAAAACATGTGAACTATCAATCTGTGGTCAGAAGGCATGTAGAAGATTGTGTACAACAGGATTTTCAGCAAAGTTTTGATCATGTTGATAACTTAGAGGCCTTTGGATTTTTATCTTTTCATTTACTCACCCCTATGCTTATATGACTTTCCTTCTTCAGATGAACACATTTTTTTTTTTAGAAAAATTATCTTAAAGATTATTATAAATAAATCTCTTTGAAGTGAAGTGACATGTGACATGTGGCCAAGTATGGTGACCCATACTCGGAATTAGTGCTCTGCATTTATCCCATCCAAAGTGCACACACACACAGCAGTGAACACACACACCGTGAACACACACCCGGAGCAGTGGGCAGCCATTTTTGCTGCGGCGCCCGGGGAGCAGTTGGGGGTTCGGGGCCTTGCTCAAGGGCACCTCAGTCATGGTATTGAAGGTGGAAGAGAGCGCTGTACATTCACTCCCCCCACCTACAATCCCTGCCAGTACGAGACTCGACGAGACCACGACTTCACCACATCCATTGCATCCATATATAATGCAAGTGAATGGGAACCAGAATGTTGGCGCTTCAAAAAGCACATACAACCCCAATGGATGAATCAATGTCTTCTGAAGTAAAACTATGGGTGTGTATAAAAAAAATGCTAACTTAAAATCAACCTTCATACACACATTCATGGGAGGGTCTAGTGTGTGTTTGATGTAAATGAAAGTATGTTATGAAGCTTGACATACAGTAAGCATGTTTAAGTCAAGAGTAAACTCAACCCTATCGTGAATGCGACTATGGCATTTGGTCTGAAGTTATGATTTATAGTGAAAAAGTATATATGTGACCCTGGACCACAAAACCAGTCATAAGGGTCAATTTTTTTAAATTGAGATTTATATATCACATGAAAGCTGAATAGATAAGCTTTCCATTGATGTATGGTTTGTTAGGATAGGACAACATTTGGCCGATATACAGCTATTTGAATATCTGGAATCTGAGGGAGCAAAAAAATCTAAATATTGAAAAAATATCCTTTAAAGTTGTCCAAATGAAGCTCTTAGCAATGCATATTACTAATCAAAAATTAAGTTTTGATATATTTACAGTAGGAAATTTACAAAATATCTTCATGGAACAAGATCTTTACTTAATATCCTAATGATTTTTGGCATAAAAGAAAAATCTATAATTTTGACACATACAATGTTTTTTGGCTATTGCTACAAATATACACCAGCAACTTAGGACTGGTTTTGTGCTCCAGGGTCACATATATTCTAAGTTTATAATAGTGTTTTTCTTACACACACTTATTGTTTCACTTTAGAAGACACTGATTCATCCTCTAAGGCTGTATTACTGTCCTAATGGCAGCATGTGTTTTTGGAGCTTCAACAATCTGCCGCTTAATTCACTTGCAACATGTGGACTCACAGAGAGGTTCTGAAGAAAGAAAGTCATAAACATCCAGGATTGCGTGAGTTTGAGCAAATGATGAGATCATCTTCATTGTTGGGTGATCTGTCACGTTGCAATAGTACTAAATATTTAAATGTTGAAATCTGCCGCACTGTTACCTGTTTTCTCAACAGGGCTCTGCACTGTTGGAGGAAGCGTCAGACACGGCGCCTGCTCCTGAGAACGGGACGGGAAACACAGAGGATCTGCCCCTTCCTCCTCCTCCACCTTCTATCCCGACTCCACCTCCTCCACCACCTCTTCCCTCAGAGCTGCTGCCACCACCTCCTCCTCCTCCTCCTCCTCCTCCTCCTCCACCCAGCACCTCCACACCGGCCCCTGCCCAACGCCGCATGTCTTCTTCCTCCAGCAGTGAGTATAAACACATCTCATCCAGAACACCTCTTTTGCTCTCTCTAGGAAATAAACGGTGGTATAAAGCATTTAAAGGTGCTGTATGTAGGATTGAGTGGTTGAACTAGGTATTGCAGTCCCTCCTCCTCAGACTTGACACACACGCAGGTTGCCAGATTGACGACACCCATAGGAACGAGCGCACTTGACGATGAATTAAATGAAATATGCTGTGTTTTCCGCCAACTGGCAACCTGGGGTGACGAAATACAATTGGGTAAACTGGCAGTGGGCGGGTTTCACAAACCAAAACAGAGACTGACATTCTGGCCCGGAACGCACATTTTCAAAGGAGAATAACTGACTGTAGCATTGTTTTTCAGATAAACAAGTATGTTAACTTAGCATGTTTCTTAAATATCTGCAAACATATTATGGTATTTTTATGCTTTAGTAGAGTCAAAAACCTACATACAGCACCTTTAAAGAGGTCATATATTAATGTTTCATTTTCATTGTATATTTCACCGCAAGTAACAAAATACTGCAAATGTGAAAGCACGACCAAGGGTGGATGGTTCTTATTATCAGTGTTGAAAACGGTGTTGTTTTTGTGATACTTTTTTTTTTCAAAACACTTTGATGAATAGAAAGTGCATTAATCTCAAAGTAAGTGTATCACAGTTTCAACAAAAATATTAAGCGGCAAAACTATTTTCAACATTGATAATAATCAGAAATGTTTCCCGAGCAGCAAATCAGCATATTATACTGATTTCTGAAGGATCATGTGACACTGAAGATCAATATCACTGTTTTAACTGTATTTTCAATCAAATAAATGCAGCCTACAGTTGAGCAAAGACACTTGACCAGTAGTGTACATAATACTTTCGCCTTTTTTTATAAAAGCCAGTAGATGTTTAGTAACCTGCTATTTAAAAGTCAGTTGACCACTGTACAATTTGAATGCATGCAAGCTTTCAAAAGCCCCCAAAAGTGCCAACAAACTTCATAAGCACCTGAGGATCTGTAACGAATCAGCTCATGGGAAATCATCTGTCTGAAAGAGAGGTTTGATGTAATCTGAAGTTTCCAGTTGATCTTTGCTGAATTTGGGTCGATGAAAAGAACCAGTTTTGAGTCAGAGAATCTTGATTAATGGAAAGGTCGAGGCAGAAGCCTGGCACGTAACTTAGGATGTTCTGCCATAGTAACCAGGGGGGCCTGGTGGCAGACATCCTGGCATCCAGTTTATTGGGTGAGGGGACTGTGACGACCTGTTAATCTAATGAACAATTGATTTGTTAAATCAAATGAAAAATGGTGTGTCTGATTGGTCCAGACGCTACAGGATCTGTTAGGCCAAGATTTAAAACTGAGGAACAAGACTACCAGGATGGCCTTAAAAGGTACAGTTAAAACTTCCTAAAAGAATCTAGTTGTGCAAAGCATGCAAAATTCAGGATGCACTTGTTCTCTTAAAGAAATATTTCAAGCTAAATACTAAATACAAGCTAAATTTCAGGATATAAGTAATAGTAATCATCTAAAGCCATGAATGCAGTGAAATGGTAAAATGACAGTATGTTTCAGATGCTGTTACAGTACAGACTGTAAGTTGTATTTAATAGATAATATTCTTTTATCTAAAGCAGCGTTTCTTAACCTTTTTTGAGCTACCCATTATTCAGGTTCCTTTCTACCCCCATCAAACAAAATGTAGTCTAATCATCTTCACTGAATATTAAAGTTGATTATTATTTTTATCAAGTCAAGTCACCGTTATTAATATAACACTTTAAACAATAGATTTTGTCAAAGCAGCTTTACAGTGTTAAACAGGGAAAAAATGTATATTTCAATGCATTTTGTCTTTATAATGAGGACTATTATTACATTTACTGTACCGTTCAAATGTTCGGGGTCATTACGATTTTAAGAAATTAAATACTTATTTAATTCAAGGATCCATTAAATTGATAAAAAAAGACAGTAACTTGCCTTTTTCTTCTAAATTATTTGACAATAAGTGTAAGAACATTAATTTACAGAGTTTTTAAGCATGTTGATGATTTTCAGTGCTGCAGCTTTGGCGTTGTTGAGGTTTCTTTCATTCTTTATCTGACATAGACTGTTGCCCCAAAGGTTAAAGAGACTTTAAAGGGGGAATTTATACAGTAGAGATTTTCTAGCTCTTGAACACCCTTTTTTCTGCTTATTTTAACTCTAAATTTTGGGTGGATGTTTTCAATTAGCTTTCAGTGAAAATAATAATATATGTAACCCTGGAGCACAAAACCAGTCTTAAGTCGCTGGGGTATATTTGTAGCAATAGCCAAAAATACATTGTATGGGTCAAAATTATAGATTTTTCTTTTATGCCAAAAATCATTAGGATATTAAGTAAAGATCATGTTCCGTGAAGATATTTTGTAAATTTCCTACCGTAAATATATCAAAACTTAATTTTTGATTAGTAATATACATTGCTAAGAACTTCATTTGGACAACTTTAAAGGAGATTTTCTCAATATTTAGATTTGTTTGCACCCTCAGATTCCAGATATTCAAATAGTTGTATCTCAGCTTTCAGGTGATGTATAAATCTCAATTTCGAAAAATTTACCCTTATGACTGGTTTTGTGCTCCATGGTCACATTTATCCTTATAGTTTTAGAAAATTACATTGTTTTAAAGAATATATTGAATTCCGTTTTTTTTCTGAATGAAAATGGTAATTTTAGTTGGTAAATGTCACATTTACACATGTAAATGGAAGAAAAGTAAACCCTCCTTTACTATATTTCTTAGATTTTGTGAGAATGCTTAAAAGAAAACTAAGTATAAAGTTGGGAAACGTATGCAAAATAGTTGCTATTTTAGTGCTGTCCTGATTCATATCTTTGTCATAGTCATGAGTCTATTGAATTTCAAATCAGTTTTTTTGCAGGGTGGTGTTCCTTAAGATGTTGATATGTTCCCTGCCTTGCATTGTACATCTGCAATAAAAATGCAAAATGTGCAGAAATTTAAAATGACATTAAGACATTAATAATGTCAATAAAGATTTCTGTTTTAAATAATTTCAAATAATTCATGTTTCTAATTTCCATTTCATATATATATATATATATATATATATATATATATATATATATATATATATATATATATATACAATATAGTTGCAGTTTGAAAAACCTTGGAAATGAAAGTGTTACAATTATTAAATTGTGATCATGTTAAATGCACCCATATCTGTTACGTAACTGCTACAGAGGTGGAACGAGGAGACGAGGAGACACAGGAGTAAACTCAAAATATAGTCTTTTAATCTTCGCTTCGGGGAAATACAGGGCAGACAGACACTCACGTAGCACATTGGGGAATCAACTCAATAGCAGACAAGGGAATAATGGAGAACACAGGTTTTAAATACTGGGAACGTAATCAGGGAGAAACAGAAACAGGTGTGGAGCTAATTGATCAAAAACCATGGAAACAAACAAGGCAGGAGAAAGGGGACACAGAAAACTAAACCAAAACAGATCAGAACCATAACAATATCTGGTACTTGCCTAAAAAGACGTGTATATGATGTGCATAGTTAATAGATTACACTTACAGTATACTGTATATATTACAATCTTTCTGTTCATTAAAAAATGTAAACTCCTCAACACAATTATTAAGCAGCATAACCATGTTCAGCTATATAACACCTATAATAATCAGAAGAAATGTTTCTTGAGCTTTCTGGAGGATCTTGTGACACTGAAAGCTGGAGTAATGGAGCTTTAGCATGACAGGAAAAATACATTTATAAATATATTAAAATAGAAATGGTAGATTTACTGTGTTTACTGTATGTTTGATCAAATAAATGCAGCCTTGCTGAGCAGAAGAGATTTCTTTCAAAACCATTTAAAAATCTTACTGACTCCCTTTTGAATGGTGGTGTATTTTATATATTGTATTTATAATATATATTTTAAAAAGCATGTATTTATAACAGCCCACATTAGCCCATATATATCTTTACACCAGCATCTTTGGTGTAAACTGGCTTTAACTAAACGCCCCCCAAGAACACCTCAGCGCCCCCCTTTCAAAAATGTTGCTTTAAGTGCCCCCCAATGTTCTCTGAACGCCCCCATTGAGAAACACTTATCTAAAGTGTTTAAGTAATTAATCTGAAAATTAACATGACTGGTGTGTGTGCATTGGTGTCAAACTTCGATTTACCTATCAGTATTTGCTTGGATCTTCAGTCATGGGTGAATGTGCAACCAATCTAACATCCAATGTAAAATATTCATGCTGTTTAGTCTGCAATCCTAAACCGTTTATTTAAAGCAGATGTTGTGGATATCAGTAGACATGTCCATGTTCAGTCCAACTCTCAATATCACCGAGTGCTCTCCGCAAGCACAAGCTGGAAGACTTAGAAAGAGCCACAAGGTAAAGCTTACTAAGTTCCAGTCTGTTAACATGAGATCTGGCGGCCTGCTCATTCCAAAGTCTGTTTACGAATTAATGCACATGGGCTATTGTTACTTTGAATCGGGTTTAGTGTTCTACCATTTACTTAATTGTTCTTCCTCCAAGGGAAATTTGACATGTCTTTGAGACAAGACAATATCCGTGATGTGTTGTGCAATTCAGTGTTATGTCAGGGAAATGTAGCACTTTATAGCGACTCGCTGGCTGTGGAATTACACCGTCAATTTGCATCTGTTGTGGCCTGTGAAAGAGAAAACATGAGCAGTGAATACACAGACACAAAGCCCAAAACTCGCTAGCTGGTCACCTGATTGCCTTCTTCTGTTGCAAAAATTGGTGTTTCATTTAAGGTACTCAATCATGAAATCATGAATTTCCTAATTCATCTATCATATTTAGGACAGCTAAGATATAGATCCTGTAACTGCTGTAACATTTAAAAATATATTTAAATAGGAAAAACATTAATTATAATAAAAATATTTCTGTTTTTACTGTATATTTTATCAAATGAATGCAGCCTTGGTTGACCATAAGAGACTTTAAACAATCAAAACAATTTAAAAAATAACATTAAAAATTCATAATTATTCCAAACTTTTGACCGGTAGTAGTACTCATAACCCTATGTATTACATTTTATTGCGTGACTTATAATGCAAACTTTTGTTTATATCGTATGTCTGGTTGAGGAGAGGTGTGCAATTCCTTTTCTAAGCATTTAATTTTATTTTATTTTTTTTTACCCGCCAGATGATAAAAAGGGTTAAAATGGCTTGGGCCAGTAATAGGGATGGGTGAGACCACTTATTTTGTTTTCGATACTTTTAAAAGCCAGTATCGTCAATATCAATACCGATATGATACTTCTAAATAGGGCTGGGCGATTTTCCCGATTTTATCGATTAATTCGAATTTAATGTTTTGCCTCGATTAAATTTTTTTAGAAATCGAGGAATCGCGATTCTGAATATAAATATTACCAAATGTTACAATTTATACACTTTGACAATATGCCAATCATAACAGTAAAGAGAAAAGAACGATCCAACCGCACATGATTAACCGCTCACGTGTGACGCGCTCATATCGCGAGGCGCCGTTCACACAGAATGCGCTTTTGTGTTGACAAAGATGCAACATGGAGAGTGGTATAGAAAAAAGCATGCAAGAAGATGTGAGTGAACTTCTTTTAATTTGAGCGCTGCGATTTTATAATGCCATTTCATGCGTGAGATGCTGCAAGAGATGCTAGTGCGAGAGTCAAACATGTTTACACAGAAAAAACAATGGAAAAGCAGCGCAATCTAATAAAAAACCTGTAAAGAACTACTAGTGTATGTCTAATATTTTATGTTTGCGTCATGGTGACAGGCTGAAAGCTGCTGTTCATTGTTTTCACAGAACATTTACTGTTAATAGTCTACTGGTGTTATACCTTCAGAAGTCAGAAAGAGCTTTATTACCAAGTATGTTTACACACACAAGGAATTTGACTTAGTGACAGGAGCTTCCAGTGTAGAAGAAAGTATGGACATAGTGCAAACTAGTGCAGCAGACATAGGAATTACACAGTAGAGATGGCGTATTACACTAATATAAGAAAAACAGAAAATTAAGATTAATTAGAAATGTTTCAATGAATGTACAGATATATTTACGAGTGTGCAGTTTAGAAATGCACAATTTTCGGATTCTATTTATAAAAGCAGTCATTTTGAATTTGAATTACATTGACTGTTGAGAATTTTTGGAAGCATTTTCATTGTAGCCTATTATTTCTGAACATATAACACGTAGGCTATAAGCAGTGTTTGGGAGAAGCTAGCTACGAGTAGCGACGCTACTAGCGTAACTAAATTTTTCAGTAGCTTACAGTAGCGACGCTACTTTTAAAACAGTGTAGCTTTTCCTGTAGCTAACTACTTTTTCCAGCAAGTAGCGGTGTAGCGTGACCGAACGCTACATTCTGTTTTGCGTTCTGACGAGTCACGAGCCTGTAATGCATTGAAGCAGCGCACGCAGCGTCGTCTTCTGACGATATCACAAACTAAATTTTATCATTATCGTCTTCTGTTGTGATCTCACGCATCGCATGGCTTTACAGTTTTTCCACCGATAAGAGATCGTCTGCTGATATTGAAAAGGATGTACAGGAGTGGATATGTCACAGGAATCAACTGTAATTTACACAAAACAAAGATTAAAATGCGGTCTATGTCGAAGACATACAGGAGGTGAAAAATAGCCTTTTTAAACTGATTTTTTCTACTTTATTTGATGGTTGCGGTGGGATTCACGCAAAGTGCAGTGTTCACGCGCGCAGCTGATGATTGTCGTCTCCATTCACAGTCAGTAAATACCGCATGTGCTGTGAGTTTAACCTGCTTATCCAGTTTAAGTTGCATACATTTTGTTTTTGCATTGATGTTATTACGTTAGTAGCAATTTTGCACTTTGACAGTCAGTTTAAGATAACATAACTATATAACTATACAGTAGCCTATTTTATTATTGTGTGTATCTGATAGTTTACAAAATCTAATTATTGCGACACTTGTCATTGAAATGGCTTGGAAAAATTTCCCAATCAACCTAAATTCACCCTACTCTTTGAAATCATGATTGCATTACAGTATGTTGTTTTAAACCCTACATATTTTACTTATAACTTCATTATGATTCTTCATTAATAATTATTTAGTTATTTGTAATGTTAATTGTAAAAAAAAAAAAATTATAATAAAAAAAATTGAAAGTAGTTTCAATGTAGCTAGCTACTTTTTGATAGCAACTTGTAGTGTAGCTACTATTTCAGAAGGGTAGCTTGAATGTAGCTTCACTACTTTAATTTACGCTCTTTGAAATCATGATTGCATTACAGTATGTTGTTTTAAACCCTACATATTTTACTTATAACTTCATTATGATTCTTCATTAATAATTATTTAGTTATTTGTAATGTTAATTGTAAAAAAAAAAAAATTATAATAAAAAAAATTGAAAGTAGTTTCAATGTAGCTAGCTACTTTTTGATAGCAACTTGTAGTGTAGCTACTATTTCAGAAGGGTAGCTTGAATGTAGCTTCACTACTTTAATTTACGAGTAGCTTGTAGCTGGTCAAGCTACAGTTTCAGAGTAGCTTCCCCAACACTGGCTATAAGATAAGTTATTACAGGATGTAGTTGTAGTTAGTGCATCTTTTCTGCAAAGATATTTAACAAGTGATTTGTTTAACATTTACATCATGTTGACAACTTCATGTGTGCTGTGCTTAGAATAGGATTTTCTTTAACTAAAGGGTTAATAAAGAAAAAGCTATTTGAATCATGTTGTAGTAACATTTTTAAGTTGAGTTAAAAATCGTAAAAAAAACGAGAATCGGTCAAACGTTCTGAAAAAAATCGAGATTTTTTTTTTTGCCAAATCGCCCAGCCCTACTTCTAAACTGAACTTTTAAATTATGAAATGTATTAAATTACTAAGAGTAAAATGGGTAATGATACCCTCTTAACTTTACATTTGAAATGCATTTTAACATTCAATATGCCTTAATTGCAATTTACTAGCTTATAATTTTGTTTACATGTGGTTAAAATATGTTTACTGTAGTGGTAACCATGGAAATCTACAAATACTATAGTTGAACTATGGTCACTTTAGTAAAACCATGGTTCATTTTCATTAGGGACTGCCAGTGAAAGGCTGCCGCATGCATAAAATGCAACCTTTTATTCTGACAGTGTATGATTTATATTAACATTACAGAATAGAACATGATCTATATGAACTTTTAATGTTCAGTCTAAATAAATGTAATTGCACAAATGACTACAATTTCAGTTTGTTTATTGTGAAATAACTCAAACATATGTTTTTTTCTGTCCTCTGATAAGCGTTGTTATACGTCCAATTCAATGCATATTGTACGCATTCATTTTTTTTGTTAAATAAACAAAAAACACAACACCTGAGTATCGATATTTTTTTATTTGAGTATCGATACTCGCAATAACGATATATCGATATTTCAGGATCGATATGCCTATCCCTAGCCAGTAAGCAAACACATAGCAACCTGCTAGCAACCACTTAGCAATTCCATTGTAACACCATAGCAACCACCTAGCAACGCTCTAGCAACTATCCTGAATCCCAGAGAAGCTACCTAGATGCCCTAGCAACCACCTAGAATACCCTACCCATACAAAAAGAACTCAGAACACCTTAGCAACCACATAACAAATACCTAGCAACCAAATAAGCAACCTATTTTTCAGTCACACATTTTCAGAACAAGTATACTACTTTTAGTCACTTATAGATCATCCTTGAGCACAAGTTTAAAAATAAAAAAGGCACAAGTACATGGTTGTATGTTGTAAAGAGGTGAACAGGTTGCCAAAGCAATATTGTGTTTCATTATGTTTGGTTTTTTTGTTTGTTCATCTCCTTTCTTTCCTTCCTGTATCTGTCATCCTCTGCGTCTGTCTTCACCACACCTGTCTCACTGAACACCTGTCTGCCTGGATCTGTCTCTCTCTCTGCTTTGCATGGATATTTTCTGGCTTTCCCTGTTCTTCCCTTGTCATGATGCATTGGCTCTAAAGAAGGGGATCTCTCCTCTACGTATCTGTCTCCCTCTGTCACCCCGGCTCCAGAAACACTTCGGCAGAGGAAGAGTAAGTATTTCACCCAGCCTCATTATGTGTGTACCATATGTGTGTGTTTGTATTTATGTCTCATTCTTTACTCCAATTCTTCTCATTTCCCTTCATCGAGAACATTGAGTGCGTTGTTTATTTGGCTACTGGATCACAAGCTAAATCAAATCTAGTATTTTCAATATTACCATGAACTTTCTTCTCACGTCAGATAGCCAAAGAAACCACAGCACCCAGCGTGATTTTTCTGTGATCCCTGTGCGATCAGCCCACAGAATTCCCAGATGCTGCGGGGACTCTGGCACATCAGCTGTGATTGTTAATATAGCGTAGCTACTTTGATGAAATTGAGTGAGGTCGTTTTTTTTGGCCTAAACCACTTTACCACAAATACAATGAAATCAACATGAAATGACATTCAGAGCCCATTTTACTGATGCATTACGATGTAAAGTTACTTTTAAAAGTAATGCATTACAATATTGTGTTACTCCATAAAAAAGTAACTAATTGTGTTACTTAGTTACTTTTAATGGATCGTAAAAATAGCCATTTCTATGGAAGCCTGTTTCCGCCACTGAACAAAAAAAAGGTTATTTTTTATCTTTTTATCTCACAATTCTGCCTTTTTTTCTCATAATTGCGTGAAATAAATTCGCAATTCTGACCTTTTTTCTCAAAATCCCCCCCCCTTCAAAATTGGACTTTATCTCGCAATTGTGAGTTTATATCACGCAATTATGAAAAAAAAGGTCAGAATTGTGAGTTTATATCACGCGATTATGAGAAAAATAGTCAGAATTGCGAGTTTATATCACGCGATTATGAGAAAAATAGTCAGAATTGCGAGTTTATATCACACGATTATGAGAAAAATAGTCCGAATTGCGAGTTTATATCACACGATTATGAGAAAAATAGTCAGAATTGCGAGTTTATATCACGCGATTATGAGAAAAATAGTCAGAATTGTGAGATAAAAAGATAAAAAAATAACCTTTTTTTTTGTTCAGTGGCGGAAACAGGCTTCCATAGAAATGGCTAAAAGAACACAAGGAGAAATGATATACAGTCATTTCCATTTATATGCATCAATATAACACTGCATAGTAATTACCAGCAATATTTACCTACATGTATTTTTCGATGAAACATTTTTATATACATGTTAACATTTTGAGTGATGTCAAAAATGCAGAACTCTTCAGATTCTTCAGAGTCGAATCGATTTATTGAAATGGACAGCTTGACGTGAGTCACAAATATGAACACTGTTGGTTCTCAACATTTATTATTATTTTTTACTTCATTTGATGAGCCCACAGAGTTGCAAAATTGTATGTTTGTAATCTTCGCCGTATTTTCTTGCTTTGCTAATGGCTTTTGAGGATCAGGGCATGACACACAACCTGTCCATGTCAGCATCTGTCTAATTTGAGTTTTGCTATTGTATGTGGTTAGTAGCATTTTATTGTTTTCGTCTAATGTTGTTTTTCTTGGCTGGTCTTGTTTGCTGGTTTTTAGCACTCTAAGCTGATCAGGACTAGACCAGTTTTAAGTAGCTAAGAGGCAGGGAATGTGTTTGCATGGTCATTTGTAGGATATGAATGGATTTATAAGCATCTTATGAACAAAACATCAACAGAAAGTGTACTTTTTCGGGCCTGTCGCTCGCCGTTTATGTGTGACTCAGCGTGGTGTGTGAGACTCTGTTAATCCACTCACCCGGCTGTGAGTTGGAGAGCTGGAGGCAGCTGATCGGAGGAAGAAGTGTGAGTGAGGAGAGGACGTGAGGTCAGCTCCAATTTGGCAGCCGTCTCTTGTCAGAGTTGATTACTGCTGATCCATTCAGACTTCCCCCGACTGTGATGAGCCACCGGCAGAAAGCGAACGCAGTGGTTTTTGTTCTTGCGGGAGGAGAGGACAGTTTGAATCAGGGGGTTGTAGATCTAAACGGCTTCTCTCAGTCTGAGAAGACCTTTTCATGACCACAGCTATGACAAAACAATAGCACGTCTGTTACGAGACATTCTGGAGATTTCAATCAAAAAACAACAGGTGATGTAGATTTGTTTTATTATTTCTTCAGCAATATTGTTTAGTTTATTTCAGTTCCTACGTTGAAGAAGAAAAGAAATTATGTTGAGCGTTTGAGTAGTTATACATTTTAAATTCAGATTAATTAATTTATTTTTGATGGGTTTTGTGCAGGGTAGATTTATGCTCTATTTATACCTGTAGCTATCAGCAATCATGTATATTTAGAAAGTCTTTTGGTGGATTAAACATTCTGGTTATAAGTGTATGTCACGTTTTTCTCCTTAACTTAAGTGTTTTTATTTCATTTGTAAAAAATAAAGTGTATAAAAGCATGTTAAAGCAGCAAAATGACTGTGTGGATTGTTTAGAGATTGTTATTAGACTCTGGGTACAGCAAGTCTTTGTTTCCTGGCACTGTAATGTATTATGGGACTAAAACTTAAAGAGCAGAGGCCACATTTGGTCAAGTAGATTATGTTATATAACAATCTTTAATTGAATAAGTTCCATATTTTCAGGCTCAAAAAAATCAAATTTGTCCTCATTTGCCAGCCAATATCATCCTTTCAGTCAAATTCACTCAATTTTCTGAAAATAATTATAAATATTATTGTATTGCACTATACATAGCAGTGGTCAGAGCAATCGAATATGTCATAGATTTGAAATCATTCTGATGGTTGAAACTTCAACAAAGGCCTGTTCTTTTTCCTTTGTTCATTCGTTCTCAAATTGACCTTTACCTTAGTCTTTCATATTTTTGTATACTTCATTCAGTGAGTGGATTCATTTCATTAGTAACTATTTCGTACCATGAGTTACTGACTGCTTTAGACATTTGTTTAGACGCATTGAATTAAATATTTAGGGGAGAAGCTTGTCCGGTGTGTGTGTCTCTCTCTTTCTCTTCATGCATCCATTCATCCTGGCTCAGTTTCCCTCTGTCTTTATCTCAGGCAATAAATCCTTCAACATGATGTCCCCCACTGGAGATAATTCTGAGCTTCTGGCCGAAATTAAAGCTGGGCCAAAACTGAAGCCAACACCTCAGAGTAAAGGCTACACGACCGTCTTCTCTAACAACGGCACAGCGGCGAACAATGTAGGTCATGCTCCCTTACTTTCACAAATTTAGTTCTTGCCTACGAAGTGAAAACTTTTCTTAACGTATGAGGGTGCATTTTCTGAAGCCTGTCAAGAACATTATTATTATTGTAATGTTTTACTTATGAGCTTGTTTTGAGCTTTATGTAAATTCTTAATGGTTAGTCTCATAAATTAAAAGTACTTTGTCTCATGAGTTATAGCGGTTGTCTACATGCAGCCTTTGATTATTATATATGGCATATAGATAACAATAAACAGGAGTCCCCGTTATGGATTGATATTACTTAAAACACTGAGAAAAGAATTCTGTATTCAATAAGAATTGAAATAATTTCCAGTTATCGTTATGGAGATGGATACATTAAAATATGGATCGGTATTCCCAAAATATAACTTCTGCAGCCACAATAAATATTGAAATAATCCAAAACAAAGTTAGTTTCAGATTATAGAGTTGCAGTTTGGAGCGTTATAAGAGTGCAGCTCAGTGATCTGGCATCAAATCCATTGTGCAGGATAATTCAGGCTTGTGTAACTCTGCTGAAATACAATAGCACAATTTATTAAAGTTACATAATTCAGGAAATGACAGAAGAGCGTTCAAATTTATTTGATCTACCTTCATTAACTGGCCAATAGTTTCAAGAAATAAATTACACTGACAGTTCTGTGGTTCTAAATCTAAATTATTTTTGTTTAACAAACAGTCAAACTATTTTTTTTGTAACACTTTAGAATAGGGAACACTAATTCACTTTTAACTATGTCTTTTACCCTCAATAAACTCCTAATTTGCTGCTTATTAATAATAATGAGCTGTTAAGTTTAGGTATGGGGTCGGGTTAAGGGATCTAGAATATAGTCATGCAGGATAAGACATTAATATGTGCTTTATAAGTACTAATACACAGGCAATGTGCTAGTAATATGCATGCTAATAGTGAGAATAGGTCCTTAAAATAAAGTGTTACCAGTTTTTCCCCCTACATTTTATGGTGAGTAACAATTGCAAGTATCATAAGTACAAGATGTCTCTGTTTATGATATTTATTCTCATCTGTGTTCTCTATATTGACGAGATTAATAAAGAGCACCAGATAAATTTAAATTTATGATATCACAGTGGATTAAATTAAAGCAATAAGCCCCGTGAAGCCGTGGTTTACAGTGAATTTATAACAGCTTAGTGGCGTTGTTAGTTACGACGCGGCGCGGAGTTTAGCTGTTATAAAATCACTGTAAACCACGGCTTCACGGGGATAATTGCTTTTATAAAACGGTTATTCCATATACGTAGTAAGGTTTCACAGAATCAAACAGAGCAAATTAAGTGTAATGATATTAATAAAAACTATTCTTCCACCAAACAATGTAGTTCCTCAGAATCAGTTGTGGTTCCAACAAAGTGGCTGCCGAGTAACTCACAAACGTAAACAAAGGTGTGTGTTTGTAGAGTAATTTACAACAGCTTCGAACAGCCAATCAGAATCAAGGACCGGAACTCTCTGCTTTATATCAGAGCTTTTATAATATTCTGAATGGCAAACTTATAATTATGAGTTTGATAAAGACATAATTGGTTTTTATTATTATTAGCAATTTTGAATTAATTCCAGAACACTATGAACACAAACATATTATAATTTAATAATTTATGCATTTAGCAGACGCTTGACTTACAGTGCATTCAGGCTATACATTTTTTTACCATTATGTGTGTTCCCTGGGAATCGAACCCACAATGCAATGCTCTACCACTGAGCCACAGGAACATTATATTATATTATAATACAAAAAAAGAATGGTTCTTGATAAGTAGAGCAGAGGTTCTCAACTAATTTTGCACTGGAGATCAAATAGCAAGCGTAACAAAATTGTTTATTGTAAAAAAAAAAAAAAATGAACAATAAAAAACAAGGACATTTATACAGCCAAAAACACAGTGATCGGCTCAGATCTCATTTCAAGTGAACTTGATTCTTTAAAAGATGAGAATTATTTGCAGATCTTTAGATGCTATGAAGAACCATTGAAGAGTGTTTTTATTCAAGCCAGCTGTGACCATATCTATATTTTCTTCTGGACCATTCTATTCTGATTGATCGTTTTCACATATTAAGGGGGAATGTCCGTCATCGCCGCCAGAGCTTCTGCCAAAACCCCAGCCCGACGACACCCAATCTGCAAAGCCACAATCTCCACCACCTGTCTGTCCCACGACCAGCGGTGGGTCGCCCCAGAACCACAACACCTCACAGAGCAGCGAGAAGCTCACAACCGCCGTCAACGGAAATACTCCTGTTGTCCAGGACAAGTCCAGCATGGTGGATGTTGAGAGTCTGGTGCCCACACATGACGAGCAGGGCCGAGCCATCCCAGAGTGGAAGAGACAGGTGATGGTGAGGAAACTACAAGTGAAGATGCAGGAGGAGGAAGAGAACAAGAGAAAGGTGAGTGATGAGACAGCTGGGTGTTTTCAACGTAAGCTGAGGCAGTGCATCTCTTATCCAGATTTCAACATTTAGTCACGTTAACAAAAGCTTTCAAATCACAGCTTCATAACATACTTAAAGACCCCACGGAATCAATCCATGCTTTTAAGGTCATTTATTTGCTAGTAAATTCCTAAGAGCTGACAACATGTACATGCATGCACGAAAATAGTCTTTATTATCTGGTATAAATTACCGATGACAAATTTTTGCCGCTTAAAATGCTTCCTAGAATAAGAAAGTCCACTCCCTAATAATGACAGCTGCCTCTGACTCGCATTAGAAAGAAGCAAATCATAGTTCATCGATGTGTCTGGTAACACTTTAGATTAGGGAACACATATTCACTATTAAGAGTTTTCCTTTAATAAACTCCTAATTTGCTGCTTATTGATAGTAAGTAAGTTAGTTGTTAAAGTAGTTATGTTTAGGTATTGGGTAGGGTTAAGGGATCTAGAATATGTTCATGCATTAAAGGGGTCATATGATGCTGCTAAAAAGAACATTATTGTGTGTATTTGGTGTAATGAAATGTGTTTATGCGGTTTAAGGTAAAAAAAAAACATTATTTTCCACATACTGTACATTATTGTTTCTCCTCTATGCCCCGCCTTTCTGAAACGCGTCGATTTTTACAAAGCTCATCGGTCTGAAAAGCGAGGTGTGCTGTGATTGGCCAGCTATCCAGTGCGTTGTGATTGGCCGAATACCTCAAGCGTGTGACGGAAATGTTACGCCCCTACCATATTGTGATGCCCTGTCTGGCCGGAGCGACAAGACAAAAACATTAAAACCCATTATAAACGAGGCATTTGTTGCTTCCAGTGGGGACATAATTACAGATTCTAATGATTTATACTGTCTTTTTACGCACTGCGTTGCATCGCGTGGTCAGCATGCGCACCGAAGGGGAAACAGGGGAACTGAATTCACTGGAACAGAGGCATTGTAGTCTACTCTCTCAGGAAACAGTCCTCCATAAAATGCGTTGCTCACATCTGAATATTTGGACAATACTACAGTGAGAATAAAAGTTACGCCTTCTTTCTTTGCGTGAACATTTAAACGGCGTTATGCAAATCTTCCCACATAGTGATGTAGGTATGTGGGAGCGTGTTAGAACGAGCTGAGGTTTGATCTATCTACATGGAGGATAGCGGAGCAGTGGGTGTTTGCATGGTGAGTTTTGAGTGTACACACTTCTTTTAGTCACTTTTATTTATATAACGCTTTATATAATACAGTGTGTGTCAACGCAGCTTTATAGTGTTAAACAGAAAAAAACGCGCAGATAATGCAAAAGGACAATAGAAAACTGTTTTTCAGTTAAAGTCAGTTCATATATAATATAAAATATTGCCAGAAATTGTGTAATGCGTAACCCCCATATAGTCCATATGCATTATACCAACTTCTTTTGAAAACTATATGCAAGATCTACTAATTGCAAAAGTGATGTGTGTGATCTGTCACTTCTCCATGAATGATCTTTGGGTTTGAGACTTTAGTCTTTGCAACTTTAGGGATCTTATCTATTCACGAACAGCTTGGAACTCTCCAAAGAGAAAGGAAAAATTGAAGTCGCATCATATGACCCCTTTAATGTACTTCATAAGTACTAATAAACAGCCAGTATGCTAGTAATATGCATGCTAATAGGCAACTAGTTAATATTGATTTGTGTTCCTAATCGAAAGTGTGAATTGTGTCTTTGGTTGCATAGTTTTTCCATATAATGTGCTTTCCCAACCATTAATTGGTTACAAAGGAAGCTGCTGGTATATTTATTCATTCCTTTGTCAATTTTACAAGCTGAGGATTTTTTTTGGGATGTTTTGTAAACTATATATTATTGCCTATTTTTTTTAAACATGGGAAAAGCTCCCCAATATTGCCCCACTTCCTGTTTCAGTAGGATATCCATCAACACAGGAGAGAAAACTGTATTTCATGGGGTCCTTAAGCATGTTAAATAATCGCTCGGAATAGCATACTAACATACTACTGTATCTGCAGTAGATAAATTCTGTGCACAGTATGCAAATTGTCTTTATACATAGAATGCACCTCACTTGACTTTCCATTTCAATTTTGATGAATTAAATTAATATAAGGTGCTTTACAATTTCTTGCCTTATTTGACTGGGCTTCCAAAAGTTATGACATGTTATATAATATTTCATTTAGAATACAAAATTACCATATTTAAGCAAGTAAACTTCCCTTCTGAACATAGCCAATCTCAAATTGTTTGTTAAATGTGTATATACAGTGCTGTTTATAAAGATTAACGCTAACAATTTAACTTTTACAATGAATAAATGGAAATGAGTGCATTTTCTCAGCTTCTGACATCTGCGCTATCCTCCTGTATTCCAAGTAGTGTGAGCTATAGTATCACCTCTTTAGATTTTAAACAGCTCATGATTTCAAGTGTAAATTTTAGCTGTGAGTTTGAGGTTTGATCTATCTACATGGAGGATAGCGGAGCAGTGGGTGTTTGCATGGTGAGTTTTGAGTGTACACACTTCTTTTAGTCACTTTTATTTATATAACGCTTTATATAATACAGTGTGTGTCAACGCAGCTTTATAGTGTTAAACAGAAAAAAACGCGCAGATAATGCAAAAGGACAATAGAAAACTGTTTTTCAGTTAAAGTCAGTTCATATATAATATAAAATATTGCCAGAAATTGTGTAATGCGTAACCCCCAAACCCCCATATAGTCCATATGCATTACACCAACTTCTTTTGAAAACTATCTAGCAAGATCTACTAATTGCAAAAGTGATGTGTGTGATCTGTCACTTCTCCATGAATGGGAAATTGTATAAAGCAGTTTTGTGTGAATGAGCAGACATTTATGCAGCTTTGGATTTTTTTCATAAATACATTTTCAGGTTAGCAGAAATTGTCAGCACATAAATCTTAGAAATTTGTTGTTAATAGATGCAAGGATGGAGAATTAGTGTTGGGATGAGATATAATTTGTCAATGACTCAATAATATTGTGTGAGTAGTATATTTGTATACATTTTGTCCAGGGAAACATGCTTTTTATGACACCGGTAAATTGGGCCAGATTACTTACTCTTGCCTTAGATGGCATTATTGAATCACTTTTACTGGCTACTTTATGTTTATTCATTGTGAACATATTGATGTGTCCCTCTTGAATGCAAAGTCAAATGGCTGCTAAAACAAACACATGTTACAACTGGCTCTAGACCTTTAAGAGTTTAAAATTACTGCTCAGACAAGGTTTTCAGCTTATGGTAAAGAAAAACTCAATCTAAAAGCTAAAAATAAAGCTCAATCTTCAGTTTTGGTCTGGGTGTCATCTTGGGTTTGAATGTTTAGCAGTGTGACATTTGGTTGGCTTTTCCTAGACTCTGTTGAGTGATGCAGTGTTTAATTTGGGGCTGTTGTGACCTTCTCAAGACAAGCCTAAGTGTGTTTGACATTTACTAAGGAAGTATTAGTTTAATGTGGCTTACTGGCGATGGTGCACGACAGCTCTAAGTTTTTACATGGGGATTCAGTGGTGTGATGCAAAGCCCCTTCACACTGCAACTGGAGCTTACAGCATGAAGTGCAGTTGGTCGTCTTGCTCATTCTACTCATTAAGCGCTTTATTTTTATCTTATACCTTCATACATCTTGTTAACGTCCTGAAGGTTTCTCAGTATTTTTCATTTTGTTTTTTTGTTTTATAGATCAGGTGCGTATAGTCACGTCTCTTGGTAGCATGAGCTAAATATAATTGACAGATAAAGTACACATGAATTTCACACTTATAGGAAACTTCTGGGTAATTTTCAAATGAATGTCTATATGGACAACATCTATGGCAGGCTGTGGAATTACTAGAAATACATTTAGCATTGTCCTCAGTTTGAAAAAACTGATTGGGAATGTACTGTAAATACACTTACAAAAAAGTGACGTATCATATATCAACTCGAAAACAGAAAGTATTTACATGGAGCTGAGTTATGCATACTCCATCCACAAATATTATGCTGGTAACGTTTAACTCTGTTTAGTCACAACTCAAAAGGACGGTTTAGCCAGCTTTATGGCTCAAGTAGCAACCATTTTTAATGAGATAGTCAAGTGCTTTTACAAAAATATGAACTTTTAAACCCATTGGCCCGATGCCTACTACATACACAGTAAGTGTTTTACTGAAAATATAGTTCTTGTTCCTTTTTTACGAACTGAGGATTGCATTGAAATTATTGTTTGTAATATTCACTAGCATGTCACTGATTGTGTCCATAGGCAATCATTTAAAAGTAACCCAGAGTATTTTTAAATATATTTAATAGATCCTAACAAAAACTCAGATAATACATTTCTAAGACAAATGAGTGGTCTTGCCATACTCAGTTACAATTTTAGTTTTTTTACCTGAAGCTTCTTTTGCAAGTAAAGTCAACTCAGTCAAATCAAGGCAGTATCATCGCACCACTAAATTCATGTAAAGTTTGAAACGTTTGGGGTGAAGAGGCTTTAAAGGCCTGTATGTAATGCACCGCATCCACATGCTGAAGGGCACGCCCACCTCTGTTTTTGTTCCTTTCTATATCCTCCTCTGAACCTACTTTAGTTTGCTGCCAGTGGATACTATCAAGCCCAAGACTGGCATTATTCACACGTGCACAATGCTATACTGGGTCCCTTTGGGGAACTGATGACAGAGGACGACCTCATCCGCATTGAGAAGCAGATCGAGAACCTCCAGGTCATGCACAAAGTGACAGAGGTGGAGAAAGATCTGGAGCAGCTGGAGCAAGAGTTGAAGCAACTCCTACCTGTGTCTGCAGCCTTGAACCAAGACCACTTCTCTGTCAACCCCAAACAGGTTCATGGGCAAGCAGAAGACCTGCCTGCCTGGTGCAGCAAGATCTCCACGCTGCTCAAAAGCATGGCCATTCTGCTCGCCACTTTGGG